AAAAAATCAGTCACAAATAAGGGGGAAAAAAACAGCTTTAGCTTTGAAGTATAATTTACAAACCATAAAATTCACTCCATGATTTTTGTGGCAATCTTATTTTAAAACAAATTTTACTAGGGCTTCCTTGATGTTGTAGGGGTTAAGTCTCAGTGCTCCCAAGCCATCGCCAGCCACTGTGGCTTGAGTTTGATCCCTGGCCAGGGCGCTGACCCACATGTTGCAGCAGACCTTTCCTGTCTTGCTTGCTGCTCCCCTCAGAGGTGGATTTCAGTCAATCCTCCTGTTCTGCTCCCCACTCTGTCTCTCTCTCATCTCCCGCACCTCTGGCCTACACCTCCATTCTTCTATGCATGCATGCATGTATAAGTAAATAAATCTTTAAAAAAATAACAAAACCGAATGACTGTAATTTCCATTGTAAAGTACCTGTTGGGGTATCCAGTTTCAATTCTTGCTGCAGAAAGTAATTAAGCTTAGTCAAACCAATTTTTATGTTTTCATTAAGTTCTAGACTTTGTGCCATGATATTTTCTTCATGAGTAGTTATCTGACCAAGAAAAACATTATGTTGATTCTCATGAGCTGCTTTATGTTCACTTAATTTTTCATTAATCACTGAACGTGAAGTTTCACAACCTTGTTTTACAATCTGTAAAGGATACAAATGAGCTTTCATTATTAAAATTAAACTTGTTGTTGTTATATTCCATATATCATATTCTACTTAACCCTGAAATTTTTCTTGTTTGAAATACACCTGCAAAAGTTGAGAGAATAGTATATTATAGTTAGCACCTCTGTATTCATTTATTAATATACATCATTCATCCACACATAGAATATAGAGCAAATAAAACCGGTCACTCTTCCTCCCCATCCAGGATAATTTCTTTTTTAAGTAAATAATACAATAGCTTATTTTTATATCATTTTGTGTATCCAGGATTATTTTGAAGCAAATCCTGTATTATTTTATTCATTTATTTCAGTATACATCTTTAAGAGTTAAGAGGCTTTTAAAGGGCACTATCACATTTATAAACTTAATGTTGATTTTCTTATATCAAATATTAGTGGTGCTCAAATTTTATCAGTTTCTTCAAATGTTTTCCACAATTGGTCTGTTTGATTTGGGTGAGTTGCCTTAAATAGGTGACTATATTATTTACCCAAATTGGAATATTTTAATGAAAGAAAGGGGTCATTCTTAATAATTACCACAGTACAACATATATAAACAAGGACAGCTTGGGGAAATTAAGACTTAAGGTCATCTAGTCTTAACTCTTTTGATCTATAGGTTAATATGTTCATCTATCTATATTTTCTACAAGTTAGTTAAATACCAGTGTTTGGGGGCAAGAATATTTTATATGTGCTGCTGAAAACGTATGTTGTGATTCTTGTTTTAAGATTTATCAGTGGGGTTAAGGGCCCTCCCTGGTG